AGCCTTTCCAGTTTCTCTTTCATTTGGGTGGTGTCCAGGGCCTATTTGTTCCTCATGTGTTTCCCTGTTGGCTAGAGCACAATTGATACCATGGAGCTACATACTGGTTGTGTTCCACGGTCCAGTAGAATGTCCAACTGGTGAGGGGCTGGAGCTATTGTCCAGTGGATAAGGAACTTGCTGTGCGAGCACAGGGCCAGATTTTGAACCCACATAAAAGAAAAACTAATCAGGTGTGGCAGCCCACCTGTGACCCTTAAAACAACTTGGCTAGCTAGACCAACAAAACCAGCGAGCAACAGGTTCAGCAATGGATCCTACCTCATAAAATGAAGTGGAGGGCAATTAAAGAAAACACTTGATGTCAACCTCTGGCTTCCACACAGGCACATGTGCACCTGTACACACATCTGCACGCCCCCAAATGTGAACACACACACACACACACACACACACACACACACACACACACACACACACACATGCAAACAAACACACAAGAGCACATGCCCAGGAACCCAACAGACATGTAGAGCTTGCCAAACTTTAGCATATTTCAGAACTTTTTTTTTTTAAGTTTTTTTTTTTCAGACAGGGTTTCTCTGTGTAGCCCTGGCTGTCCTGGAACTCACTCTATAGCCCAGGCTGGTCTCAAACCCACAAAGATCAGCCTGTCTCTGCCTCCCAAGTGCTGGGATTAATGGAATGTGCCACAACTGCCTGGCATATTTCAGAACTTTTAAGGATCTTATTCCTGTGTAGACTATGGGTCTCAGGGTCCCATCTGCATTTCAGACACAGTACCAGACACTGCTGATGCTGCATAGGAGACCAGTATGTGTGGCTCTACTTTCTCTATCTTTTCAACAGAGCCACAGTGCCCATCTGGATCCACATCCAGGCTGCTACTGCAGAGCATCCCTTCAGGAGAAGTAGGACATACAGAGAAGTACTGAGACTATGCTAGGACACAGGGATTGCCTCTTCTGTTCATGAGAGGGAGAGTTGAGGTCATCGAATTGCTGCATGGTAGGATTTCAAATGATGGAGAGTAAGTTGAGTAATATGCAAAGAGAAATTAGATTTAGTAAGTATAATACCCCCAAAATACCTGCTAGTCTTGAACTATCCTTATCTTGCAAACAAGAAAAAGTGTTGGGAAAGCCAACCCTAGTATAACTGAAAAAAGTTTCAGGGACTTTGAATGGCTCATTGGAGCAGCTTTGGTTCCTTGAGCACAGTCAGTTCTGCCATGATGCCATCAAGTTTATATACCTGTTGGTGTCTCTGTGCAAAAATTCCCTAGGAATAGTGTTTGCTGAGAATGGTCCATAGGTCTCTCACAGAACTGGGGAGTTGCTGCCTTGCTGAACCTCAAGTAAAACCCAAAAGGAAGTTTACATTTCTGCCAGACAGAGTTAACTCATGGATAACGACTGGGTTGTAACAGACAAATTCTTATGTGTCAGCCAACTATTTAAGAACAAATTATACATGACTTAATGTTCAGAGAAAGAACGCATTAAAGATTGAACTCATCAAAGATTTTATGAGTGTTTTTGTTTACTTGTTAATTAAAGATTATTCTAGAATGTGGGCTTGGACTCTTGCCTGTCTCCTAAGTGCTGCCCAAGAAATCCAGCCCATTCCCATGTGAAGTTATTAGGAAGATTTTGGGTACTTCCCTTTAATTTTCCACTTTCCTAGTAATACTGATGATTTCCCCCCCTGTGAGGGCCCACAGAGGCTCCCTAGTAAGGCCTTACTCAAGGTCAGAAAGTCTGAGCTTGCTTTACCCACCAAGGCTGCATAATAAGATGATTTGGCCAAAGGCATGGTTACCAGATGTTTTGAAGAGTCTACACTTGTTGGTACTTTATACCTCAACATTGAAAGGGGGAGGTCTTTTGCCCCTCCCCTTGCTGATGTATAAAAAGTCCATCATGAATAAACTTGGTGACTGGGTATTGATCCAGGGACCTCCAGAAGCTATCCTGTGTCTCTGTCTTTCTGTCTACAATTTCTTCCTATTATTTCTCAGCTCCTCCCTCCTCCCTCCAAGAACCCTTCAACAGATCAGGGCTGGACCCCGACAGCCTTCTTTTGTTTTAAAGCAGTTTCATAATGGATGTGAACTGCCCTCCCAATGACCAAAGGTCTGTTAGTTCCCTTCGTTTGTTCTAACAGAGCCAATGACATCAATCTTGCATCATAGAGCTCTGTGAAGCCTCTATGCCTCATTAATGTAAAAGTTGATGGGAAAGAAGCAGGTAATACCAAAAGCCAGCTTTAGACAGCCGACCCCCAAGCCATCCATCCCTTTGTGTGCTGGGAAGCTTTGCTCACTGCATGGGCCCACGCTACAGGTGTGTTTCATGATTTCTTTTATAGTGGCCATGATCCATTTAATTGAAAACAATTCATTCCAGGTAGCACTTGCTAGAATAATTCACCAACCTGGGACACAGTATGCAGTTAAATTAGAATATAATCAGGGTTAGATATTCTGCGAATGTGTCATCTCACATTTAATCAGCACCAGATTTTTGCTTTGCATGGAAATATCCCAAACTCAATCTCTTCTTTAGCAGGAAGTAATAATAACAGGTTCTCTAAGCCCTTCCTCATACAATAGCTTCAAGTCCCATCACAAGGAGATCAAGTGTTAGTGCTTTCTGCTAAAAAACTTTTCTCTCCTGTTTCATAGTTATTTACTTTTTACCAACAATAAGAAACACATTTGTATTTTGGGAGCCCTATGGTTCCACTCATAATTAACATCCAAGGGGCTGCCAGCAAATTATTTCTGATGATTAATTCAGCCATTACAAAGAAAACCATGGTGTCCATGGGAGGATCAGAAGCAAGGTTCTTAGAAGAAAACTACAGTTGTTGCTGGTGAGGCTTCTGCATAGCATTTCTCTGGAGGGATGGACTCAGAGCGTCCCCTCTGGGAACAAGCCAAGAACAAGCTGGGGTGCCCAGGTACGAGGTCCAGCTACCGTGGGTGGCACACAGCCATAGCTCCGAGAGCGCTGTCGGAGCCTCCACTGAGTATGTAGCCACGAGCTTCACAGGAAGAGGAAACAAAGCAAAGGTTTTTTTGTTTTGTTTTTTTCAAAGGGAAAACTACACTTTGCAACCTGAGGACCCCTACCTTGTGACCCAGAACACCTTCCAATTCCAGATGGCCCACCATCACTAATCACAGCTCACCTTTTTGGTTTGTTTGGCCATTTTCATTTAAAAGCAAGATCGGTCATTTGATTTTAAAAATGTTCCCAGGCCAGAAAAGAAAAAGAGGAACTCACCCGGTGTGACAATTCAGACTCCCCAAATCTTTTGCTTGGACTGCCAGGTATGCCCTGCCTTTGTTCTGCACCAAGTTGTGGTCCACTGTAAGCCCAGGACTCCTTCCTTGACCTAGATGCTTCCTGTTCCCACTTCAGGCCCCTACAGTGAGCACATGTACCTCAACATACAGTAGGGACCACAAAAATCCAATCCCTTTGCAAGTTTAGCTTGAGCCAAAGGAACGCGGTGATTGGCGGGGGGTAGGGGGGTCTAAAGTGATGCTCAAGGTGCATGTGGCTGGGAGGTGCTTCCAGAAACTGTCCACACATCTCATTCACTCCTGCCTCAACTGAGAAGTTCTTCTGAACTCTCTCCAGCTTGGGTACCACACTAAAAGAGGTGTGTGGAAAATCATTCACTGCCGATGTCTGTCACATTCTGAGGACTTATCAAAAGTGCATCTACACTACTGCCTATCACTGTCTTCTAAAGACAACGAGGAAAACACCGTTTATTTTGTATCTCTACTACCCAAACAACAGAGACCAGACCAAATTCTGCCAGACAATAGATAAGACACAAGGTTCAGTATTCTCTATAAACTATGGAAAACAAATTGCTTTCTGAAATTCTCAAGGGTGCAAAGCCTTTTAAAACTCTTCAGTCTTACTAGTTCAGCTTTCCCTTTTCATTGGAGGTAACATGTCCATTCTTGGTTTATTAGGAACAAGCTCAAAGTATCTTTAAAAACCCCAGGGACCTTTAAAATATAATTTTATCTCTTTTTTTCAAAAAACATTTTATTTTATGTGCATAGTGTTTTCTATATCTATCTATCTATCTATCTATCTATCTATCTATCTATATGCACACATGTGTATATATATGTATACATATATAGGAAAATATACACATACACACATATGCACATATGCACCATGGGCTTTTTAAAAGCTATGAAGTGCAGCATATACCAAATATGGGAACACAGTCATCTTTGTAAACCAATGTCAGGTATGTCAGGGCTACTGAAAATATCATGGACACTAGATAGGGAAACAATGACTAAAATATCATTTGTGTCTCTGGAGACAAAATGCTTCTGGTATCTACCACATGTCTTCATCTGGGATGAAATGTAAGAAAACCAACCAACCAAAGCTGCTACCTCTAAGCTACCTGGGGGTATGGTTTTGTTTTGGATCCTTTCGTCTGGTCATGGAAGAAAGACAGCACACCTATGGCTTGGTAAGGTTTCCTTCTTGGCGAATGTTCCAGAAAGCATATGAGTCCTACAGTGAACAGGTCAAGGTAGTAAGGTTGCTGGAGGTATTTAAGCAGAGGGAAGATGACAGCAGGGTCAGGAGGCTGTCAGGGATCTCTAAAGGCTTAGCTTGACTGACCACTAACTTCTCAACTCCAGGATCTCATGGGCTTGCCTTGCCTTTCTATGCTCAGATTCTTTGGATATCTTCAGAAAAAGCTGTGAGGAGCAGTGAGCAGGCATCTTTTTGTGGGTGGGTCATGACCCCAGGGCACTGAAGGGTGACTGGAAGCGACTGGACAGCTATGCCAACTACTGACTGCCACCTGGTCCAAGGCATCTCCAACGGGTTTTCTCCTCCCGACTCCCAATTCTCATTAACTTGAAAGACAGATGACAGCAGTATGGGATCGCACACTAATGCTCAATCTGTCTTTTGTAGCATCCTCTGTTGAACAGAAGGCTTCAACCAAGTGAACCACAACTCTGCAGTCTGTGCCCATGTACACCTTTCACCACACAGTGCTGGCACATGGTTCTGGAAGCTAGGCAGTGAATGGCACAAGACGGACATCAATGCACTTAACTCCATCACTGACAAGATGGAACAAAAGATGGCATCGGGGCTTTTGCTCTTGTCTGTTGGAAAGAAATGAAGAATTCTTTGCTCTGGGACAGAGAGTGAAGGTGAAGAGAATTCTTCCTCAGCAGTTCTGCAAAAGCAATGGAGGCATAAGCCACAGCAATCCAAACAGCAGATGAGAAAACGTGCTTCCTTGAACCAATCAATTGCATCTCCCAGTATGTGTTGTATTTAAAACATATGGGAGTTATTCCTAAGTATATAGTGTTTTATATAAAAATTTGAGTGGAAATCTGTATCACCTTCCAGGGTTTGAACCATTTTCACACACAATCAAGTGCTTTGTACAAGCTTAGTCTAGTCTTATTGCCTCTGCACCTTATGTTCTAAATTTCCTTACTGTGTCCATTGCACTAAATGGTGCTTAACTCCCACAGAATAAACATGTGCAGAGGTGTGTTTTTATTACCATGTGGCAGAACGCCACCCCACATCCAAGAGTGCGAGATCTGAAATGAGGCTTAGAGGTGACTTACTTCTTCCACGTAGTCTTTGGAGGCACTGAATCCACAGATGCTATCAAAGGTTTGCTGTGGTCTGTGATCTGCCAAGACTAAGTCAAGGCTATGGATTCTTACTTGATTTCACTTTCCATTTGTTATTGGCTAGCTAACAGAGTGAAGCCTTTGCCTGGTTACTTATGCAGAACAACCAGTTCAGAAAAACGAACATCCATAAAAAGATTATCCACAGCAGCTCTGTCTAGAATAACCTTCAACTGAAAGCAATAGTCACGACCAGTGACAGGGGAGTGCGTGCACACGCTGTGTTGTATTTGACAGTGGAAAGTGGGTGCTTTTGAGAATCCCCTGGCTAGCTCTTCTTGATGTAGTAATAAGAAGAGAAAGATCTGCGTGGATTATCATGAGGCCTTGTGCTCTTTGCTATCCTACGTCACTTCTTCAGCTCATCCATCCATAGTCTCTGTCTCTCTCTCTTCCCCCACTGCTGCTTTCTGTTAGCCAGTTACTTTATAGACTTTTCTAATACTGTACTTCCTGCTAGATTCTCTCTTCTGTCTCTACCCATGAATCCTATTTCACTGAATACGATAGCTGTAGCTCAGATGTAGCAAAGACTCTGGGTTCCACTCACCAGCAGAAAAAAAAAATGAAGACCACTTTCCAGGTTTAAACACGGAGCACGTTAGGAGGCTCTCACCTGGTCCACATACCAGTCTACAGAGCTGCACGTGGGTCCCAATGCTGCCTTGCCTTTCACTCTGGATGAGTTTCAGAACCAAGGCAAGCCACATTCAATTCTGAGGCAGGAAAATCATTTGAGCCTGTAATCTGAGGCTAGCCTGGGACATAACTATCCTGTGTCCCACAGAATCCATGTGACTTCTTCTCAACTGGACACCTACACTTACTCAGATTCACTCTGTTGCTGCCATGGGAAACACTCAGGATTCTCCTCCAGCAGCTGCCATTTGTGTCTACCCCAACGAAGCCAGCATGTCCTTACCAAAGCCAGATCTGGGCTTCAGTAAGACTTGTGCACTCCCTAATTCCAAAGGCTATCTTTTGATCTGAGCTCTCTCTGATCACCAAGAGTGACTATGTCCACATTCTGGAAGTCCCAGATTAGACTGGCTTCTGGAATACTACCTTCTGCTTGTCTCGCTTTATCACTAGCGGCTCCTCCTCTGTGTCTTGTACCAGTCTCTCTCCTCTCCATGGTGCCTGGAGGCTCTGTGTGGATGTCTTGTCTTTACACTCACTCCCTACACGATCTCCTCCAGATTCATGACTAGCCACCAACACATCTCAATCCCCAGCCAAGATCTCAAGCCCACCTCCAGACTCCTGCAGCCACCCGCCTACAGAGCATCTCCACTTGGATGTCTGGAGGCTGCTCACCCTTAACCATTTCTTGGCTGCCCCCTCCTTCAAATCTGTTTCTCTCCCAGGAGCCCCCGTTTTAGTGAGGCCTACTTCAGTCTGAAAATTGTTCACAGAGTGTGCAAAGTCATCCCTGACTCCCGGCCTCCTCTCCCAGCCCACACTGAACCCACTGGCAGATTCTGGCAGCCTCCCCTTCAAACGCACGCCCAGCATGCACGCGAGTCTCATCATTCCTGCAGCTGCCACGTCTCCTGCCTAGACGACTGCAATTCCTTCCAATTTGTTTTCTCTTTCCTGCTTGTAGCAGGGATTTTTTTTTTTAATTTAAAGATAGAAGGTAGCCATTCTCCTCAAAATATGAGAATTGCTTTCTGACTCTTTGTGGACAGTGGTCAAGATCTCCACAGTGGTGCAAGAGACCTCCATGCTCTGCGCCACGCCACCTGTTTGATCTCCTTCCTCCACTGTCCCGCAGTTCCCTCTGTAGGTGCCTGCTTCTTTTTGGGTGGGAGCACTTGTTAATTCCTCTGCCAGGAAGCATCCTTCCTCTAAGTTTCTGCATATCCTTTAGGTATGTGAGGCCTTCCCCCTCACCATGTGCTAGCGATCCTCTCCCCCCCCCCCCTTTACCGCCATCCGACAGAGTATGTGTGCATCCATTTACTCTTACTCCCCAATAGAATTCACTCTTCGTGATGGCGAGCATTGTTTTATATTCTCTGCTGTTTCCAAGGAAGACAATGGGTACCACAAACACTGAATAAATGAGTAATGGAGGAACACTATACTTTTCATTCATCTCTCTCTCCCCATCCACCCACCTCCGACCCAAGTGCTAAAGATGGAACCCACAGCCTCACACATGCTAGGCAAGTGCTTTACTATACTAAGTAACAACCTAAGCAACAGGTTCCCTTTATTTCCTGCACCCAAAACATTATAGATAAGTTACAATATCAACAAATTATCTCACAGAGACCGGAAGCAGAACTGACAGTGCTGAATCAAACCACGTGGAAATTCAATCTTGACTCTGTATGAGATCAAAACAGCACTTTATGGCACCCCAAATGGTTCATTTGGTCAAAATTTGTGAACATGTTACTGTGATTGATCATGAACTAGCTGCAGAGAGAAATGGAGGAGGTTACACTAGAGGAGGGTGACTATAGAGCATGGCGTTTATTATCTGTGCAGGAGAGAAGTTTTTGTGAACTTGGCTTCCCTGTGGCTTTTGGTTAAAAGCCTAGACTGATCTAGATAGCTGAGTCCAAAACAGCAAACACACAGTCAAATTATTGGGTTACATTAATATATTAAAAAACCCTCCTCCAGCCATTGTAATAACTGATACCATCATTTAGAAGACAGCACAAACAGGGCTAGGGGAGATGGCTCAGTGCTTAAAAGGCTTATTCTGAAGCATGAGTTCAGATCCCTAGGATCCATGTAAAAAGCCAGACATGGCAGGTCTGAGCCTGTAACCCCAGCACTAGAGGGATGGAGACAGGCATATCCTGAGGACTCACTGGCTAGTCAGTCTGGCTGAATGGCAAGATCCATGTTTAGTGAGAAATCCTGTCTCAAAAAATAGTATGAGGAAGTGATTAAGGAAGACTCCAGCATCTATTCCTAGCTTCTGCATTCACTCACATACATGTGCAAACATGCATACACTATGCACACACATACACACACTTTTAAGACAAAGCATATGTAACCAGTGAAAGTCCTTGGAATGAGAACTCAGGTTTCTGAAATTAGCACCATATATTCAATAAATAAATAAATAAATATTAAGAAAAGAGGAGGGAGACAAAAAAAAAGGTGTTTTTCCTGGTAGAGCAGAGTAACTGGGAAGACTAAGAAACAGAAAGAACTGTGTTCAGATGACACCAGTGAACAAGCATTGTCTGTTTCCAAAACCCAAACCTAAACCAAAAATCAAACCAAATCAATAGCAACAAAAAAAGAACAAAAGGGAACTCTACTTCGTGCATGCGTGCATGCGTGCGTGCGTGTGTGTGTGTGTGTGTGTGTGTGTGTGTGTGTGTGTGTGTGTGTGTGTGATACTTTACAGCTTGTAAATCTTTTCAGCTTATGATTGCTTCTACCCGGATAACATTTGTGTGGATCACCTGTGTAGTCTATGGTATATATTTCAATTTGTATTTGCATATTTATCATGTTTCTATGTTCTTCCACAGAGGGTTCTTTGGTCTGTATTTTGGGAGTTGCAGAGAGCTGGACCCCTTCCCCGGGGATCTCCTGATATACAAGAACACACCAGAAACCAGCCTCACTGGGGCTTCACAGGCCCTCTGTACACTGCATTTCCTTGTTTAGTTTTGCTTGGTTTGACTTCATGCCTATTAGCCTCCTTGAGTCTTCTGCAGATTGCCCTGGCCTAATTTTTCTCTAGAATCACATCCTGGCCTCAGAAGACTTTGCAGACCTGAAACCCCAGTGGGCCTGTGATTTCAAATAAAGCGTTTATGAAAATGACAAGTATAAACTGGCACAGTCTGTCCTGTAAAGCCGTCAATCTTTGCATGCTAGTTTTTCTTTTCCACACAAGGACGGGGGCTGGGGCTGTTCTCACAGGGAGCTCTAGGAGAGGTCATCTGGGAATGGGGTGAGGCCATGTTCCCTGAAATGGAAATGGATGCCCAGAGGTGAGGACGCACGGGAGCTTTGCAAACTCTAAGCGAAAGCTTAGCACACATGTCATTCAAATAAACCTGGTTCAGACCAGTCTACGTAATAGCTCTTGACATGCAGGGAAGCCTGGAAGGAACGAAGGAAGAGCAGGACAGGGGACAAGCCAGTACAACTCCAGCAACTGATGCTTTTCTACAGCGTAAGAAATGGATGTGGTCTTCTCTGGATAATCCAAGCTTATTAAATGTGTGAAATTCCTGTGATTCACTGTCCCTCCTGTTTTCTCAGTGACTTTTTCAAATCTCGACTTGGCACTACCAGAAATAATAGAATGCAGTGTCAAATGATGTCATCGTTGTGTCTTTAAATGCAAAATGATCTCAGACACTTCTCTGCTTGGGATCCTGAAGGACTGCCCCCACTGATGAGTGGTAATATATGGGTACATTATTTCTTTGAGATCATGCAAATGGGGCTTCTGAACTCATTATGGAAAAATTATTAAGTTATAAAACACCATTGCTAAAAAAGGTGTGCCTATAATATGAAGTGTGATTAAAGTCATGTGAGACTTTGACCTGTTAAATAATAATGTATTAATCCATGAAGCTGTAAGCATTGCATCCAGGTACTATAATTACCATCGGCCTCATCGCTAATTGCCTTACCAACCTTTACATTTTCCCCAAAGGCTCCTCAAATGGTCGTTACCATTACCTGTGTTCTAGTATTGGTGATGGAGAAGACCTTTGCAATAGCAAACTTCTCATCTCTGTTTAATCCTATTGATTAGCAATGAATTTGCAGGCTGCAAAATATTTTGGTAAAATGAATGTGTTTAAAGGTAGGGGGGAAAATCCATGCACTGAAATTGAGGGGAATAACAATGTTTCCCATATTTCTGCCAACATATTAACTAATACAGCAAAAAAGATCCTTGATGTGTCAGGTGCTGACTGATGAGTGCCCAGGGCTGAGACTTAAGCACAGAATTTTATTGCCGAAGACACTTTCATCTGCAGCCAAATCACCAGGGAAACACTTTGTCATACAACTTCATTCTGCATGGAGACCCTGTGACAATATTGGCATCCTAAGGATTTGTTCAGGCCCTTCCTGTTGCATCTACCTGTCTGTGCCTGGAAATATTTATGGAAACACTGCAATTCATGCAGACACTTGGCTCAGCACCTAGAAGCAACTCAGCCAGCTCATGTTTTATCTCAACAGCCAGTTTAGAATAAGAGCCTAGAAGTTGTAGGTTTTTAATATCAATGAGATAGTATATTTTAGAAAGGTTTAATACTCTCACTTCACATTAATGGGAGCCGATGGAGCACTGGGCACCTGAATAAGTTATAGACCAAAGTTACTCTAAAAACACCCAAAGTCTTTTGTGCGAGGTGAGCCAAAGTTGGGAGAATCAGGCAAAGAAAGGGCAAAGGAAGGAGAGAGAGTGGGAGTGAGGGAAAAGAGAGGAGAGAAAAATGCATGCATGCTGGACTTTGTACACTTTGAGTTGTACTTTTGAGTGTTCACATTCATATGTGTGTGCACATTTGTGTTCAGACATGTGGAAGCTAGTGGTGGACATCAGGTGTCCTCCTCATCAGTCTCTCCCTGTTTTTGAGACAGGATCTCTTAGCCTGGAGGCCATTGACTGGGCTAGACCAGATGGCCACCAGTGAGCTCCAGGAGTCTGTCTATCTCTGCTTCCCCAGCCCTGGGATCACAAGCACGCACTGCAGCTCCACGGACTCTAAGGACAAAAGTCAGGTCCTCGTGTTAGTTGATGCAGCAAGCACTTTCCTGGACGTGGCCATCCCCCTGGCCTCGACTGAACTTTTCATTTCAAACGGCATTTCCTTTGCTTGCTATGGCACACCCCTGTCCCCAGCATCTCCAAGAAATAGTTCTTGGCATTTCGCTGGTTATGTGAGCACCGGGTATGTGACTCTTTAGTAGCCTGGCCAGTTCCTGACCCTCTTCACCACATTTTCTCGAAGCATCACCACACTCATTTGCATCCCTGGAAGAGCCAGGCAGCTGACAGCTCCAATTCTGCATTACATATGTAGTCTAAAACAGCCTTTTAAGAAACTTAATCTGATCATACACCCATGGCCTCCCACACTTGCCACTAAAGGACAAAAAAAAAAAAATTCCTTATCAGCCATTGGCACCTGAAAGAGATGGTCTCTGCCTACCACTCTGACTTCACTTGGAACCAAGCCCCTTAGTCCACGCTAGGCCTTGCTATGCGCTGCCACAAGACCATTGCATGCATGTCTTTTTCTTCTGGGAACACCTTCCAGGCTGACTCCTGGACACCACTTACTCACGTGTTTTCTTCATGAGGTTGACTCTGGCTGTTCTTCAGAGCTTTGTTTACCTGTGATGTCATAGCACAGTCTACCCACCTCTCTTTCCCCAAATTCACCGTGTTGCTGACTTTGCTTTCTACTGCTGATAAAACACCATGACCAAAAATGACTTGGGGAGGAAAGGGTTTATTTGGTTTATACATCCTAATCACAGCCTATCAAAGTGAAGTCAGGGCAGGGTAGGTGGCGGAACTGACCTTCTTCCTTTATCTAAGGGGAGGTGGGAAGGACAGGCAGAGGAACCATTTCTTAGAAGAGAATGGGATATGAGGGATGTGGGTGACTTACACTGTAGAGCTGGGTGGAATAAGGCTCATAAATTTGGTTCACATGGCCAAGGTACAACAGGGAACATGTTCTGGAATAACTGCCTTGGTATGTTGGCTACTAGGTCTGAAAAAAGTTCAAATGACTTCTTTCCCTGCTGACAACCTAAGACACAGCTAAGTTTGTAAAGTTGAATTCATAGACTTATAGCAACAACCTGCCCTTGATTTTTCTTGGATATGGAAGGGGAAAAATGGATCACAGCATCTGCCAGATTGCAGTAAAATTTTTATTTTCTCTGTCACCTAATATGTTACTTAGTGACAGAGAATTTTATCAATATCCACTTTCACTTTAAGCAGTGAGCCAAAGAGACAGGCAAGTACAGAAAAGGAAGAGAAGTGAGGGGAGCATGGTTAGAAAAGTCCAGAAAATAAACTAAATAATTCAGAGAAGTCACAGAAGAATAAAGTGTTGTCTGTAAAATCCACAGGGGGCATCGTAGAGGCAGAAAACTTACCCAGGCCTGCCTCGGACAATAGACTCTGGTTAACTACAGGAATCCAGTGTTGGAATTTGGGTCTCTAATCTGTTTTGTCAATATTTCACATACTGTCAACTGCACATCGAGGAATGAGCTACTTTCTTTTGTCTTAAAATTTCCAGCCATTAATTATGTCCTGGGTGGCATATTTTCATGTGGAAAGTAAACAGAGAAATATTATTCTTGGCTTGAGAAGGACATCAAGGCTATGTGTAATTTATAGTATTATTCTTGAAATGCAATTTATAATATTTTCAAAAGGATTGTGGTAACAGTCTACTATGTCAAGCTGTTTAACCTGTTGTCAAAGGTGAACCATTTTAATGGACAAGACCCTTCTAAATTCTCTACTTCAGTTTTACACAGAATTCTTGGTCATTTCTCAAGATTTCAAATCTTTATGCCCATTTCTCATTTTTATAGTCTGGTATAGAATTTACATATAGTACAATATCATGCTTATTCTTTAACTAATGAGTCCAAACAACAGCTTAAATATTTACAATGAAATTGTTAATTTTAGGAAGTGAAATGTAAGAAAGTCCTTTTTGAGAAGTGAAAATGCCTATTGCTTAGTCTATCAGCAGACAACAAAGTGATCAATGATTTTTTTTTTTTAAATAACAAAGGGATTTATGGGAACTCACAGCTATGTGAAGGATAGCAGAATCCACTCAAGGATAGTCACCGAGCTGTACAAAACTACAGTATATAAGAATCACAATATACAGCATATAAGTCATTCCAATCATGCCCAGCCATGAGGACTAAGAGCATCTGTCTGGACAATGTCAAGCACAGGAATGATGACTTCTAGAACAGACTAGCAGATGTAATCTGCTACTGTGAAGAGAACTGCCAACATTGTGTCAAAATCACATGTCAAGAGTTGATTGTTGGAACTAGGCATGATGGTGTACAACTGTATCCCAGCACTGCAAAGGCTGACGCAAGAAGAACTCAAGTTTAAAGCCATCTTAGGCTACATAGGGAGACTCTGAAAACACACATACATATGCCCAACACATATCCACATGCACACGCCCACACACACACACACACACACACACACACACACACTATAGATTTCTAATGGATACTTGAAGAGTTAAATGTTATTTTTCAGGTCCAGAAGAGATGACTTAGCAATTAAAGTGTTGGCAGGCCAAGTGTGAGGGCTGGAGTTTGGGTCCTCTGGACTGACATAAAATCTAAGTAGGTATGGCAGACCACCTGCAATCCCAGCATGTGGGAGGCAGAGACAGGAATTCCTCCAAGCAAGCTGGATAGCTAGACTAGTCAAAACAGCAAGCTACAGGTTCAGCAAGATGTACTGCCTCAATATATAAGGTGCAGAGTGATTGAGGAGGAAGACATGAAGCCTCCATGTGCACATGTGTACAGATACTTGCACAGACCTGCACAGACACACCTGCACAGGCATGAGAACATGCACACATACATGTACACATGCCATACACACAGACATGCAAAAATTCTGTACATGTGAATAATGGTTATATACTAAATATATCATTAAACTAGAGATTTTAACACCTTGTAGACAAAAGCTTCAGAAATTGTAATGAATGTACCATATGTATGTGTAGCTGAGTGCTACCTGCTAAGTTCTATCAGCCAGGGTGACTATTACCAGCAGGTTACCACTATATACCCTAATAATAGACAACTTACCAGTTACATAGGAAATATGAATGCTATAAAATAATTTTATTTTTAATTATATGTATGTGTGTGTTTCTATGTAGGGATGTGTGTGTAAGTGAGCAGTATTGGCCCTGGAGGCCAGAAAAGGTGTCAACTCTCTTGGAGCTGGAATTACAGGTGGTCTGAATCACCTTATGGGGGGCTGGGAACTGAACTCAGGTCCCTGGCAAGACCAGCACATCCTCTTAACTGCTGAGCCACTTCTCCAGCTGGGAAGCCCATGGTTTAAACGTGATGTGTTGGCTCAGTGAAAATGTTTCTTAGCATTTTAATGGTCCTAACTTTAAATGCCCCCTTCTACGAAGTAGATAGAAGAAAGTAATTGCTGCTAACCAGATGCCTGGGACTTCACTGTGTACTTTATATGCATTCTCTTTATTTTAATCAAAATTTGGCATGTGATGTATGATGTGTATATGTGTGTGCAGGCATCTGGGCCCATGCACGAGGGAGGAGGTCAGAAGAGGACATTGAGTGTCCTGCTCTATCACTGGCCTCCTTATTCCCTTGAGGCAGAGTCTCTCACGGAACTGGGAGCTAGTCAGGTGACCGGAGCTCCAGAGAACTCCCATCCTCCC